AAAAAAGGTGTTGCCGTTTCTTAGATAACCCCCTTTAACTTTTGAAATGCCACAAAACCACCCTTACATTTTGGGGTTCTTAGAAAACCCCTTCAACTTTCAATATATTTACAAAAAACCCTAAAAGTGTGAACCACAATTTTCACTGGCAAATATCTCCCTGCATAATTTTAGTCGCCCATTGAAAATTGTGGTTAATGGCATTAGGGAGTTTTTGAAAAATGTTGAAGGGGTTTTCTAAGAAGAGGGGGTGGGGCTTGGTTCTGAAATTTACCCTTGCATACACTATGTCAGAGAGAAACATTGCAACCTTACGAAAATGTGCAAATTTAGTTTTAAACCAATACCTTTTCTTTCGCTCGGGGTGTACCAAATTGAGATAATGCAACCAAAGGCGGCACCGCTCCTTCTTGCAAAACCAAACTACAGAACTTCGGGCTGTTTATACACATTTGCAACAAAGCCGATGCCGCATTTTTCCTTCCCCCTCTGAGAAACCGCTCTCCCACTTCAACAAGCAAAGGATCCCTCCTCCGTTTTCAATAGCCACTCTCCCTTCGGGAATCATTGAAAGATTTGCCAAAAGAGCTACAGATTTATCCACCATACCCATATCTGGATCAATCAGCTCAACAAGATATTTAACTGCACCAGCTCGAACTATCCTCGCTTTATTCTCATGAAATATTGACAAATTAAATAAAGCAGTGGCTGCATCTTTTTTCCCCTGAAGACTTCCAGAGCTTAATAGGTTTACTAATGCTTTAATTGCGCCAGACCGTCCAATTTTTGCTTTGTATTCTTCTAGCGTAGAAATACTGAATAAAGTGGCTGCTGAGTTCTCTTGGGCTTCGGTACTACCTGATTCAAGAACATGGATAAGTGGTTCGATTGCTCCAGATTCCGCTATGGAAATTTTATTACTATCGCTGATGGATAGGTTTAAAAGAGCAGTAACTGCATTTTCTTGAACTTTTTTTACCCTGGAAGTTAGTAAGGAGAGAAGAGGTGTAATAGCTCCACATTTTGCAATTAGAACACGGTTCTCATTATTGTGCTTGGTGAGACTTCTTAATTCTGATGCTGCAGCTATTTGAAGCTCCAAAGAATTGGATTTTAGGTCCTCAATTAATTCTGTTACATGAAATGCAGTGCATAAATCATCTGAACCTGCATCAGAAACCAAACAGTGATTTCTGCTGTTATTGTTGTCCTGAGAGACTTTAGGTTGGTTTAGAGAAAGCCATGAAGCCATATTTATATCTTTCATCGATGAAGCTTCCAACAAACAAGCTTTTTCATCATACTTGCTTGATATATCAGTAATGGCACTTGATACAGATTCGGTGCGGCTATGAGTGCAACTTTGCAATTCACCAGAAAAATAAGTTTGAGTAGTAACCTTTTCTATAATCATTTTATCATGTTTCATAATAGATGACTCTTCAACTGAGGATCTTGAAATCGAATCCCTACGTAATGAACCATGAAAACTACTTCTCGGGCTGAAATTTTCGAGAGAGACACTAGACATAAAGGGATCCAAGATACTTTCCGGCTGCACATAATCACGTCGCTTTATGTGATTATCTTCATACCAATTTGCAATCAGAGCTTTGACAGTGAAATTTGGCGTAAGAATTGTGTGGGCGAAAATTTGACTAGTCTTTGGACAAGTTTTTAGGCCATTATCAAGCCATTTTTGTATGAAAGATCTTTCATATGTTTGTCCTGAAGCCACAATAACCGGATCTTGCATTATTTCCAAAGAGAGAGGACAACGGAAGTACGAAGGAACTGGAACTCCATTTATGAATCCAAACTGTTCAAACCTAGACATGTAATAACGAATGTGAGTAATAAGAGCAATTATGTCACTTATGTGATCTACTGCTGCTCTATTTTCCTCCAACTCGGCCTTCATTCTTTCCTTTTCCAAAGCTATAGTTTCTGTCAGAAGTTCTTGAGGCGATGTCAACCCAAGAGTTTCCATGATTTTTATAATGTCGTTGAGGCTTGGTATGATGCTCTCCCTTTGATCTTTCAGCGCATGGACAATGGGTTCTGAAGATTGGTATTGTATCAATTGCAATTCCTGCATACAGTGCTGAAAGCCTTATGTCAATCTTAGAGTTATATACTGACAAGAAAGTATTTATCAATGTCGATAACCAATATTTTTTTGCATAATTAGAAACTTTTACATTCTTATATATGCATATACCTCAATTTTAGCTGATTGTGAAGCAACAGGAAATGATTGTAGTAATTTACTCAATACATGGCAAATCTCCACAGAGGAATGTCGAACCTTAACTACCATCAGCTCAATTTGTAAAACCTGCAGATATAACATCAATCATATGAATGAAGATAAGGTTGACTCAAGGGTCAATATGCAGACAATATACAGCTCTTTAGCTATCATATGTCTTTGGCAAGTAACTCCAAGGTCCTGTATTAAAAATGGATCTTGAACATACAAATAAAAGTTACCATTTCTTAAAGTTGTATCAAAGTAATTGTTCCTAATCAAGATATTCTCAAAACTTTTAAGATGAACTTGAATTTGACTAAAAAATAACAATAAGTTCTATACTAATCAGGGATGTAAGTGTTATTTCCTTCTGAATTTTAGGCTTATTAACATCAGCTCAGAGTTCAATAAAATAACCAATATTGGGATTGGGGTCAACACTTGCTACATATAACATGCATATGCAGAATAAGTGATAGTTATATTGTACTCATCTTGCCATGCTTAGATTCTGTGGACATGCATACTGTTCTCAGGGATGTAAGTGTTATTTCCTTCTGAATTTTAGGCTTATTAACATCAGCTCAGAGTTCAATAAAATAACCAATATTGGGATTGGGGTCAATACTTGCTACATATAACATGCATATGCAGAATAAGTGATAGTTATATTGTACTCATCTTTCCATGCTTAGATTCTGTGGACATGCATACTGTTCTCATGTGATACTCAACTCTGTAACAAAGGCAAAAATTTCAGATTTGAGTTTATATATATATGTATATATATATATATTTTTGATAGTATTGAGGCTGCTTTAAGGATAAGTTAACATACTGAAAGAAATGTGTGGTAAATTTCAAATAAACGAAACCAAAATCAGATGGATTTTCATTTCTTGATAAAATAACAAGATTGATTCAGCACTTACACTGCATATCTTGCTCATTTTGTGGGATCTTTTCTCCATAAACTCTCTGGACTTATTTACAGCTACATCTAACTCCTCGAGCTCTCTAGTGAGTTGCTCATCTGAAGGAATTTCAGTATCCAAAACTTCATCAAGTACAGGCTTCAAGAGCTTCAAGACACAAACTATATATCTAATGCCTTGTAGATCAGAACTTTTTATGGTCTGGCAAGCAACGAGATGAATTAACCGAGAAATACTGTTAATGAGGCCTCCAATGAATTTTTTGTCCATTGTACCTGTCATACAATATTAAAAATGAACAGTAAGTAAATCCAATTATCACATGTCAGAGGCAGAAATGAAAACTAACAAAAGGTTCAACAAGAAAATGGTTGTAAGTGCAACACAGCTCTTTTTTATCATAGAGAACCTAAAGACTGCATAAGCAACTTATGACGTAGGGAAAATCAATTAGAAAAAGCGAGACATGATTAATGAAAAATACTAAAGTATGATGATAGTTTTTATGTGCTTCAAATAAAAACATAAGAGGCACTGATGATATAGTATTAGTTGACAAGATTAGAACAGGTTTAATTTCAAAAGTAGAAATGTGGAGGCAAGCTCTTGAAACTAAAGGTTTTAAAATTAGTAGAACAAAAACAGAATACATGGAATGCATTTTTAGTAAAACTAAAAGAAGAAAAGAGCCAATAATACATATTGATGGCCAATAGATAGCTAAAAGTAATCAATTTCGTTATTTAGGATCAATCATTCGACATGTTCGTGAGATTAAGGATGATGATGTCAATCGAATCAAATCGGGATGGTTAAAATGGAGGAGTGCTTCGGGAGGCTTGTGTGATCGTAGAATACCCATGAGACTTAAAAGAAAATTCTATAGGACAGACCAACAAGGCTTTATGTTTCGGAATGTTGGGCAATTAAAAAAACATGTGCAACAAATGAGTGTAGCAGAAATGAGAATGTTGAGATGGTCTAGTGGGTACATACTAAAAGATATGATAAGAAATGAATTCATCCTTAGTAAATTCGACATTGCTCCTATTGAGGATAAAATGAGAGCAAGTCGAGGCAGCTCAAACCCAACAACTCACTGCGACTTGAAACCAATGATTAATGTGAATATTTTCCAATGAGAATATCTCCTCTAAGATATCCACAAAAGGGTATCTCCATGATATCTAGAAGGATACACTTCCATTGAATATTATTCCCAACAAGTTTTCAAAGTGCTCTCAATCTTGAAGTGTATAGGTCCAAGATCCAGTATATTTTGTTATCCGCTAGAGATGAAACCTACATTGATGTCTAGATCTATGAACAATCATGACTTATCTATGGAAAATCATGACAAGGAAAAAACCACAAATATAGCACAGTAAAATTCAACTTCTTCCCTCTCCAACCTTCAGTACATCAAGTAAAACAAAGTAATGCATAGTTAGTGAGTACAAAGTAATGCATAGTTAGTACAATAAAGATGTTCCAATGCACACCAAAAACACTAAGTATGCTCTCAAATTTCAAAAATAATTACGGAAGTTGATGATCCTAAAGAGAGTACACCTAGAAAGGAGGAAAATCAAAAGCTATGAGTCATTCACAAAAGTTTTCAATTGTGCATAACAAGCGTAAACATCGTTCATCTATTTACAAAAAGTCAAGTATCAAGTCTGGACCAACAGCTTTAGGCGTCTCAAAGCAAACAACCTCCACTTGGAATTAAATCCCATGATCTACAAGGCAATGATTGCATACAAAGAATCATCTCCTCCAACATCTCCTAAAAGGGTTATCTCCATTAGAACTAAACATTAACATCGTGCCCAACAAATTTCAAACTTGTGTCCACCTTAAAGCAGATTGATCCAATATAATTTTGCCATGTACTAGAACTGAAACCTACGCTGATATCTAGATGTACGAAGTTCTGAACAATCATAACAAGGACGAAACCACAAATACAAAGACATAATAAACTTTAACATGGTCCAGCCTAACCGCTGCTACATCCACTAAATGTTGTGACATACAGATAGCACAAGAGTGATGTTTCAACACCCACTGAAAACATAATGTGTGCTCCCAGTGTTTAATTATACATAACACTTACAGAAAACTCCCAAGAGAATAGACCACTCGGAGGAGGAAAACCCAAACCTCTGCATGGATCAGACCAAGCACCAAATAAACAAAAGAGCGTGGGCACATAAGTAAAATACTAACATGTGGATAGTTGTCATTATCTATTAACTCAAAAATCAAGAAGTAATCTTGGATCCAGGTTCAAGGCATTCAAGCTAACGTGCAGAAGGGAGGAACAAGACAATGTGCTACATCAGGGAGGAAAAGAATATAGAATGCTAGTACAGAACCAATGCAGCTATAAAAATGAAATCTTTTATGTAGAATTTTTACAAATAAATCAAGCTCATGATGTTTATTCCTCAGGAGAACTCATAATTTTTTCGACTAACAACACTTACTCTCCATCAAACAATAAACCTAATAATATATACAGCTCATTTCACCACAGCAAATGCTCAAAGACTTCTCTAAAATTACGAACAGAGTAAATCAAAAAGCAAAAGCTTTTATCATCAAACCGCAACTACTATACCTCTTGTACGCAGACAACCAATAAAATTCCAAAAGAAGAATGAATTTAGCCTACAAAGATAAATTTATCAGTAACTCATGCAATAGGAGGAAGCCCAAAATATTAATCTCAGTCATGTGCTCGAATTAGAAGAACATGCAAGGATATCCCAAAAGTAGCAACAAAGGAATCAAAGATCCCATCTTTCTGAATATTTGGAAGGAAGCAACAATACCCCTGTTCAACTGGATGAAGATCAGCAATCAATCTCTATCCAGCTGCTTGAATCATCAGTATCTGCCCACTGTTCTCCTCCTTAAACCCCAATCAAAGAACCCTAAAGCTTTTCTGGCTCCAAATCACAGACAGAGAGAGAGAGAGAGAGAGGTTGCGCAAAAAGGACCCACTTTTGTCTATTGTAGCTGCTCGTCGAAGGCAAGAAGATGAGGTGGAGAGTTGGTCCAGTGAAAAAAAAGAATTTTATTTATAAACCCAGAGTCTTTAACAAACTTATTGTGAAACCCATTCACTTTCAAAATCATTATAAAACCCCAGATATTTATATTTAAATATTTTAAACCAAGTGTCTACGTTATTTGCTACTGATTAGGTAAATTGCTATAATTTTTTGAGGAAGTAGTTATGTCGGGTGTCTCAGTAGCTACACTTGGGTTTGAAAACAAGAGTTTTGCTACAGGGACCCAAAATATGAGACCAATAGAGGGGACAAGTGAGGTGTCCCTCTCTTATTGGATAATGAGTTTGTTATCATTAATGATGGCCAACTCATTATCTAATAGGAGGGGGACACCTCACTTGTCCCCCCTATTGGTCCCATATTTTAGGTCCTTGAGGAATATTTCTAAAAACAATTCGCTATAGAATGATTTTAAAAATGGATGGCTTTGAGCATAAGATAAAGTAAAGTGTTGGACTTATAAGCAAAAACTCCGAGAAGAAGAAGAATCTAAAAAAGCCTGGGTAGGGAACGAATACAACCTTTTTATCCCCCTACAAAAAGCTTGCTTAAAATTATCTAATAAAAAAAATGCTATTTTATCACTAAGACAAGGATTATTAGTCAACAAAGTGGACTTAATTAGTGAACTCCGTTTTGTTAAGTATATACTTAGTTCAAGCACTGGAGACTTGTGTCAACAAACAATCATGAATCCAGATCATCCAAAATGATAACAGGCCCGCTCTTGAGCTGGACTAACAAAGGCGGTACTATTAGATTGGAGAAAGAAAGAAAATGCTACACAAAGGTCGTATTACTCGTACTATTAGGAAAAAAAAAAGGAGTGGGGTTTATAGAAACACATAATTTCAATTTATAATTTATAAGAAAAAACCCATCTTTTTCGTGTGTACGAGTATAAAAATAGCATAACCCTTGCGTAAAATTATCACCGTCCAGAGATGAAAGATAATGCTGATATTTCATATTCATATAGTAAGTTGGTTATCCATCCCTATCTATTTTCTACATTGAGATTCTCTTCGGAAAATAAATCGAACCTATGAATAAAACTCTTGGAATCTATCTGAATAACCACAAGCCTAAGTTAGTAACCAATTGGAACAAGGGCTAACTATTTGTCCATCTCTATCCTTATTCTTCTTGTTTTGTAGACACCCTACTACGTTAGTACTCATTAAATGCAATCTATTCTAGTTAACCTAATACATATCAGGGGTTTTCAATAGGATGTGACACTATTATTAGGTATTTAAAACGGATACCCATAAAGATGATGATTGAAGTGGGTAATCTTCCCATAATTGTGTAAGATGGGCACTTTGGTAGGTTGCCCCAACTGCTGAAGAAAAAGAATTTTTAATTTAAGCAAGGAAAGATAGGAGCCTAAAGTTATATTCTTTCTATATATCGAGGGGGTCTCCTTTTGTAAAGTATTCCTCTCCAACATAATAGTACTTTTTGTTAGGATTAGCCTTAAGTGTAAGGTTTGAACACCACTAATTTATTTATTTTTATTTTATTTTTTGGCCCCCGCGACAACAGTTTAGGTTAAGGATATACATTAGCGTTGCTCGTGAGACATGGAGACAAATGACATCACCTTTGGATCCTTTCTTGGAGGCACGTGGGGTTACTCAAAGGAAAGCAATATGGGCCTCACCTTCCATGTGCTAATAATTTTGTTCTGGAGGAGCGTGACAGAGAGGCTTAATTATAAAAAGGAGCTTCACATTTTTAGAACAGACCCTACCATTTAGCTTAGTCAGCAAAAAGTTTCCCCTGAGAAGTTTCACCAATTGTTTCTTGAGCAAGAACAAGAAAATAATCGTGCAACTCCTAATACAAACTTACAAGCATAACTACGGGCAACGAACGCAACTTTTGCTTGACTGATACGTTTCAAGCAAAATTAAAATGCAACATAGAGAGGCACCACTGAGGCACCCCAAACAAGTAAAGTACCAAGATCAAACATTTGTGAAAGGTATATGCATACTCCTCAAAATTTGCAGATAACAACAACTTAATAATACTTTCTCGAGATTCATTCAAAAAGAACTGCATAAGAAGCATCCTAGTTAATTATTTGAAATCGAAACTAAAACAGTACTATTGAAAGAGACTGAAACAGGAGAGAGAAACTAAATGTGGGAATAACCAAAATCCTCTTCATTCCATCAAGAACTATCTCCACTCAATAGTTCAACAAGATCGGCTTTCTTCAGCTTCGAGTACCCTTTAACCCCTCGAGATTTCGCAATCTCCCTCAACTCTGAAAGTTTCAAAGACGAGAGGTTCGTAATCTCAAGAGCTGATGGTTCTTCAGTGGTTTCTTCATTCATATCATTATTATCAGAAAGCTCATCTGAGCTCTCTTCACCATGCTCTTCAAAAGCCACAGGCTCTGGTGCTGGCTCATCGAGACTAACCTTTTTCTTATCTTCAGTTTTTAATGAGCTTCCTTCAGCTGAAAACACTGGTTGAAATTTAACTCTAGGCACAGGAGATCTCCGGCGAAAACTTGATGTTGGTCGAGGTCTACTAGAAGTAACTGGCTCTGCCTCAGGAACCTCATCAGAAGTAGTTATATTGCTAGAACTAAGGAAATTTGAGTTTGTGCTTGGTTCATCCTCAAGTGAATTGTTTCTCTCAGTTTGGTCTAAATTAAACTCTTCATCTTT